CTAGAATTGATAGTGATTATAACTCATTTAAAACGTGATTTAACCATGGTGGGGAAAAAAAAGAAAGTGCTCTACAATGGATTGTGGTGATGATTGTATGACTCTTCTGGATGTGACGGTCCTATTGAACTGTGTGATGTGTGGATTAAGTGCCAATAAAACAGTTTTTTAAAAGAGTTGCCATCTGGACAGTCATGGGCACCTTTACTGTTTATAGACGCACTGTGAGTGCCCTGGACTGGAGGACAGGGAGTTTGGATTGGGTTTATTTCCGGTATAACACCTTCATTCTACCTGATTCAACCAAGCCAAACTCAGCTCTAGAGAGGCAAGTCCAAAACACAGTGACTCTTTGGGTAGGGTACAACTGCCCTGTGAGTTTCCAAGACTATAACTCTTGTGTGTGTGTGTGTGTGTGTGTGTAATTATGGATTTATTTTAACAAATCATTTTATTGGGGGCTATTACAACTCTTGTAACAATCCATATATCAATTGTATCAAGCACATTTGTACATATGTTGCCACTGTCGTTTTCAAAACATTTTCTTTCTACTTGAGTACTTGGTATCAGGTCCTCTTTCTTCCCTCCCTCCCTCCCAACCCTCCAACCCTTATGAAGCCTTGATAAATTAGAAATGATTATTACTGTTTTCATATCTTACACCATCCATTGTCTCCCTTCACCCACGTTTCTGTTGTTCATCCCCCTGGGGGTGAGTGAGAGGGGATTATACATTGATCATTGCGATCAGTTCCCCCTTCCTCCCAATTCTCCCCCCACCTTCCGTCCACCTTCATGGTATAACTACTCCCATTACTGTTCCTGAGGGTGTTGTCTGTCCAGGATTCTGTGTGCCAAGAGCTCTTATCTGTATCAGTGTACATGCTCCAGACTAGCTGGATTTGTAAGGTAGAAATGGGATCATGATAGTTGGGGGGTGGGGAGAGGAAGCATTAAAGAGCTAGAGGAAAGTTGTATGTTTCATCGGTGCTATACTGCACCCTGACTCGCTCGTCTCTTCCTTATGACCCTTCTGTAAGGGGATGTCCATTTGTCTACAGATAGGCTTTGGGTCTCCACTCCAAGCCCCCTTGTTCACATTGATATGATTGTTTGTTTTGGGTCTTCTGATTCCTGATCTGATTGACACCTCATGATCACACAGGCTGCTGTGCTGCTTCCATGTGGGCTCTGTTACTTCCCTGCTAGATGGCCACTTGTTTAACTTCAAGTCTTTAAAACCCCAGACAATATATCTCATAATAGCCGGGCACCATCAGCTTTCTTCACCACATTTGCTCATGCACAGTTTTGTCTTCAGTGATCGTGCGGGGAAGGTAAGCATCACAGAACGCCAGGTTATTAGAACAAAGTGTTCTTGTGCTGAAGGAAGACTTGAGTAGAGGCCGTGTGCTACCTTAATACTTAACATATAAATCTATGTACATAGACGACATCCCGATCATTATATATTAATATATTGACATATATACATGCCTATGTTTATACCTCTATACATGTCGTTGGCCTCCGAGTTCTTTTCTCTGTTTCCTTTTACTTTCCTCCTCTCCCATTATCATGTTCAACCTTCATTCAGCTCTCAGTAATTACTCTTGGCCACTTTGCACTTGATTAACCCCCACTAGGCATTCTGGACTGTAACTCTTTATAGGAGTAGAAAACTCCATCTTTCTCCAACTGAGGAGGCTGGTTTGGAACTGCCAACCTTGCAGATCTCAATGTGTAACCACTACACGACCAGAGCTCCTTTCCAGCCTGATACGGTCTGTGATTGGGGGGTAGAGGTTCCTTATTCATTTGCTCTGCTGTTTGAACTGGTGACGTTGGCCATGCTAATTTTAGCCACACAGAAAGGATGCTTGCTAAATCAATTAGACAGTTGTAACTTCACCAGCTGCAAAATTCTTCAGGCATCGTGAGAAGTGGTTGAACACCCACAAAGTTTTAGTTGCTGAAGGGGAAGTCTCTTTTTTTATTATTGAATTAAAATTCTTAGCTTAATGATCATAATAAATTCTATGGTATTTTCCCAGATTAGGAAAGCAGTCACTCTGTTATAATACAAGTGGACTAGAAAACTAAGGCAAAACAAACTAACCATGCACTGCTGGATTCTACAATCCCTCCCCACCTTTTTGGCCCAAGTTTCTCTTTTTTTGAGGTGAAATATACATGTCCAAAAATGCATGCACGAATTTTAATGTACTATTTGAGGAATTTTGAGCACATATACACCTTTTTAAACCAAACCCTTATCAACATACAGAATATTGGCATCACCCAAGAAATGTCTCTCAGACTTAGGGGAAGGAGGAGGGGTGGGGTAGGGAGTGGTGAGTAAACAAGGCCATAGACAAGGGAACAACTAGGGAATTAAAATCAACAACAAGGAGGACGTAGAGATCCTAGGGGTGTTGGAGCAACAGCAGTCTAGCTGAGAGGAATTACTAAGAGACAGAAGAAGGGCGAGTGTGATGGTGGGAAAGGAGGAAGGTAAAAGGAAATTGGGGAAAGAGCTAGGAAGCAAAGCTATATGTAGAGGTATAAAGATAGGTGTGCACTTGTGTAGATATACTATTTCATAAAAGTAGAGGTATTGGCATAGGTGCATATATTTATATGGCAGTACA